TTCTCCCCACGGAATCACAAGAGTCTTTTTATTAAGGTTCGTCCCTTGGCAAGGAATTAGCAATGGCTTCTTTGTACTTCCCTCGATTGCAACTACATATTCTTCTTCAGGGTATGATCGAAATTGGACTATCCCCTAGTCCACCAATTTTTGTAATGTCTTCTCAAAAGCTTCATTATGTTCCAAAAGGAACCCACACTCCAACAGATGTTCCTTCAACAAATTTATTGGGGCATTTACTCGTCAGGCTTCCCCAAAGTCGGTGACTACTTCGATTGCATTTATTGGTGGTCTGCCATGCGGAGGCATGGGGTTTGACTTAATATTCGGCTTATCAAACGTGATGTCTTGGGCATCCAACAAATCGTGAACCTTATGCCTGAAGGCCCAACATTTTTCTATAGTATGTCTTGGAGAATTCACATGATACTCGCACCTGAAATTGTCATCGTACCTTGGTGGGAGTGCCCCAATTGAAGGAGCCAGAGGTTTTAGCTCTACCAAAGATGCTTTGATTGAGTATTATAGTAATTGACTGTGCGACATGGGTAGAGGATCTAATATTCTTGGAGGCCTTTCAAACCTGTTTTATTGTTCTCGTGGAATCACAAACGGTTGTTGTTCCCTTAGATGTGATGCTACAACATTGATTTCTCCTTCTTTCTTTTTCGAGAAGTTAGGAACATGTCTTTTTGAATTATAAGCGGTACTGGATGATGACCCTTGTATCTTTCAACTTTTCGCACCTGCTTCAATCCATTCACCAATGGTTACCAAATCAGAAAATTCTGACGAGACGCTTCCTACCATCTTTTCATAGTATAAGCCTTGTAAAGTTCCCATGAACATATCGACTAGTTCTTTCTCCATAAGTGGTGGTTGTACACGGGATGCCATTTCTCTCCACCTTTGGGCATATTCTTTGAAGGACTCCTCTTTCTTTTGAGAAAGGTTCTGGAGTTGCATACGGGTGGGTGCCATGTCCAAGTTATATTTGTATTGTTTTAGGAAGGCATTAGCAAGATTTTTCCATGTTTGAACATGAACCCGTTCCAACTGCATGTACCAGTCTAAGGATTCCCCACTTAAATTGTCTTGAAAACAATGAATCATCAGCTTCCGTTCATGATCATAGGCATGCATCATCATGCAATGCATGAGCAAATGGTTCCTTGGGTAGATGAGCCCCTTATATTTTCCAAAGTCAGGTACTTTGAATTTCGGAGAGATCACTACATCAGGAACTAGCCCCATTTCAAGAGCATCAACATAGAAAGCATTGTAACCCTCCACAACTTTCAACATTTCCTCCAAAGCTTTGTACTGGTTAACAACCAATGGATTCTCAATAATTTTGGGTTGGTGTGTTTGAGTCACACCTTCCTAATCAAGATCTCCATATTGTAGGTCTACATAATTGTCTGCATTATTGACTGGAATCTACAAAGTATGGGATGCCCCTACCTTTGGTGGAGGTGGGACAGACCCCTCAGTATCTAATTATCTTGTCTCTTGTTGAGCCACGTCGGGCTTTTGAGGTCCTAACTCTGGTTCTTTTCTTGGTTGGTGACTGCTCGATGCACCAATAATTTGGGCTACTTCTTCAAAGGTTACCCTAGGAATTTGTTCTTGTCTTTCAATGATGTTCTTCAAGGCTAGAAGAACTTGACTCATGTCTCCTCTCATTGACTCGATGTTTCCTTTGACTTTCTCCAAATCTTCCATGAATGCTGCTTGGTACTTATCAATTTGTTCCATCAGTTTCAGTTGATGGGCTCTTATTCGGTATGGTGGTCGGAGAAGTGGTGTTTTTCTTCTACCAATGGTTTAACTGGAGAAGATTTTGAAAAAAGATGAGTTTTTGTAGGAAATGCAGATGTTTGTGAATGCATGCATGCGTATGAATATGTATGAATATACTATATATATATATATATATATATATATATATATATATATATATATATATATATATATATATATATATATATATATATATATATATATATACATTATTCTTAGATTTTGCTTTTTATTGGCGAGTATCTTGAAATGAATATGTAGTTCAAATATGTAAACAAAAGTATTTTCATTAATAATAATCATCCTCAAAAGGGAATATATTTCAGATATTGAAAGATATTCGAACTAAAAAGTAACTATTGGAAGTACCAACATCTTCACGGCTCTTAGGGCAGTTTCTCCTTAATGATTATTATCACTGTCATATCTGGCTTGATAGACAAGTTGTTTCCCTTGGCATCCGTATTTAAGACACTCACTAAAACCTTTGACTATTATACTTTTTGACCCTGTGAATAAGACATACAAAAAGAAATGGAGGATAAATATGTGAAATGCAAAAAATGTATGAATGCATGAATGTAGGGCTTAGTGACAGGATTTTATGAATGGTACCTTTAGAAGGTAGGCTCCTAGATTTAGCCTACGGATAATCTACCCTCCCCCGTAAGATGTTTTCCTTAAGGGTGTCATGAATAACTCTAGAGGGAAACGCACAAGGCTCTCCCTTAAGTGGAGCCTCTTTGTAGACCGAAACTTTCGTCTCTAGATCATGAAAGGTCTCGTCATGAGATTTTGGTTTAAGGGTTATACAAAGAGTCATAGGTTTGATTCCAAAGTCCTACTTCCCAAGATTATATCTCTTAAGATGTATTCCCTTTGCGGAATTCCACCGACTCTAGGCGAAGTCGTCACAAAACTCAAAGGGATGAAGCATCCCCTTGCTAATAGACGAACCGTCTTTCTAAGGGTTTTTGAAAAATAAGTTTTTGCAATAATAAAATCCCACCACAGATGAATAAACATAATGAATAAAAATAACAACCATAAATAAGAAATTAAATAAACAAATATAAAAACCAAAAAATAATAAAAAAACCCTAAAAACCCTAAAACTAAAGACAAGGCTTCTAAACCTAGGGTTGAGTCCCCAGCAGAGTCGTCAGCTATTGTAACTGATTTTCAAATAAGAGTCGTCACTACTAGTTTTTATCCTAAGGAAGGGAATCTAATAGGAAACCCTAATTTTGTACACTGAGATTCTAGGTTCTTACTTCATTTTAGACGAGGGAAGGTGTTAGGCATCCCTCATTTACCTTGTTCACAAGGATACTAGAGTTTAGATTTTAAAGGTTTAGGGTAAGGGTTTTAATTTTTTTATTAGGGGAACTCGCCACGATTTTTAGTCATATGCCTACGTATCCTCTTATGAGGAATCAGAGTCCCAATTCGTAGTTCGCATGGGTTGGTGTTTTTTATGGATTACAAAAATATTTTGAATTCTCCTTGTACTTAGTCTGGGTGTGTGAATAGTGAATATTTTGGACAAAGCGCGCAGTTAATTGAAATATTATCGTGATCCTTTTTGAAAAAATTGATTGTTATTTAATTTGATTATGAAAATGGTTTGGTGTTGGTTAAATGTTTTTTTAATGTATTATTTGTGAAAAATGTTTATTTAATGCATGACTAAAATGATTTAGTACAATAAATAAAATATTTTGGATGAGATTTAGAAAATATTTGATTTAATAATAATAATAATAAATATACTATTGTAATTATAAAAATAGAAAATAGAAAATATAAAAATTATTAAATAAAAAATAATAATTAAATTAAAAACCCAGGGTGTGTGTGAATTTAGTTAAGGCAGTAAAAAGAAGGGGTGTTAACAACATGGGCCAAAATCCAGAAATTGCATTTGGCCTAGCAGCATAGGGGGTGTCATTTTGTTTAGGTTAGAAAAAACAAAAACAGAATGGAGTTTGATCATCAAAGGGCCAGGCCCATGATGGTTTGGGAGTCCATTTGGACTCTACGCGTGCGGTTGTACAATAATATCATGGGTGTACACTTTTGGATAACTTGATGGGGATCATACGATGATTATTAAAGTAGTATGGTAATACAGTGGGACTCGCACATACGAGATTGATGAACCTAATATATTTTGTTTTACAAAAAACATTCCTCATTTGTCTGTCCTTCTCTCTCTCTCTCTCTCTCTCTCTCTCTCTCTCTCTCTCTCTCTCTCTCTCTCTCTCTCTCTCTCTCTCTCTCTCTCTCCTCTACTCTCCTCTCCTCTCTCTCTCTCTCTCCTCTCTCTCTCTCTCTCTCTCTCTCTCTCTCTCCTCTCTCTCTCTCTCTCTCTCTCTCTCTCTCTCTCTCTCTCTCTCTCTCTCTCTCTCTCTCTCTATCTATA